GTTATTTTGACCTGAACCAGAGCACGATCAATCTCCTATTCAGTACCCCCTGAAGTATTGATTTGTTATAAGAACTTGAAGGGCTTTGTGATCCAGATAGATTTAGCGTGCCCCAGTCACAGTTTTGTACACTGGAAGTGTTCGGCCGGCGAGGATTGAACTCACAACCTCTCGAACATGAGGGGCATAGAGTATAGAGAAATAAACCATTCCCGCAACAGCCTTTTGAGAATCAGGTCATTAATTTAAAGCCTCCACTATTTCCAGACCAACTGCATAATGATGGCAGTAGGATAAGCTGTGCTCCCTGATGGCCTTTACTTTCCAGCCATTATGGAGCCCTTAGATCTACAAAGGACACGAATCGAACCCCGATCTTTCATAACTAAACTCAGAGCCCTAACCTCGTGGTTCGTATAGCGAAACACTCCAAAAATAAAATTAGCAATGAAGGAACTCAAACTTTCAACCGCTTTTCTGACTTATGTGGAAGCCCGACCGATCGGGGCATCGATTAGGGGCAGGCCTCGATTAGATCCCCCTAATTTTAAGATACGTATCCCAGAGAAACAACCAAAATCAAACACCACTGACTGCGGTCAGTGAGTGGGTGGATGACCACTTTGGTCAGCCTACGATCAGTAATTTCCTCGCGTAATTTCATTACTATTATAAGGGATTTAAGAGGGAGATTACAGAGGTTGTAGCCCTGGACTTCCAAATTTTTAGGGCCCCACAATGAACCTCTAAAGTTTATGAAGGTGAAAATGATTTTTGTAATTTTTCTAACAATTTACTAGATATTTTTTCAGGAGCTATGTTTTACAGTCTTCCTTTAGAATCATTGTATTAGATATGTAAATATTGTAGGGTAAACTAACCAGTGAAGGAACACTTAAGCTTCGCTTGCCTTTTAAAAAATCATATTAATTTCAAAGCTCGTAATTTTAATTAAATGAAAGTGTCAATATATTTGTTACTAATTGCAAATTATGTAAAAAAATTTTAGAGAACTTACATAATATTGTTTTAAAGTTTTGGAGGTTTAAATAACAAGTAGTAAGAACACCAAGTGAAGGAACAGCTCTTACCAGTGAATGAACACCCAGTAAAGGAACACTTAATTTTGGTTATTTTTTANACTGTTTTAAATATTACACTTGTACTTCATATTTTCCGAATTATATTAAAGACAATATATTACAGTATAAATATATCAAAATTGAAAAATAATTATAAATTTTTTTAGACGTAAAATCCGAATGTAGCACAATAATTTGAATAAATATTATTATTCTTAATATCGGTGTAACAAATTTTCATTATTGAGTAGGGATTGCTTTGGTCCCTTAAACAGGTTTCGACTGTATTAGAAACAGATTTGTAAGACACGAAATTCGCAAACAATTAAGCAATTGATAATCTTCTTTTCGTTCCACGCATTCAAATCTATCATCTCTTATCACAACAAGTAGAATTTTTTTTCGAAGGAAAAATGAGGGAATTGGATGACCACCGGAGGGTGTTCAAGACGATAGCTCCCTTCCGGATCACATCATGATGACCACACCCTTTCAAGAATAATTACTGAGAAATCATCTCGTGTGACTTCATTTACACTACGTGACTCGCTTCCTTAATATTCCATTTCTCAATTGTGGTCAATAAGTTTGCTTATGCCGCCAACTAACATTACAAAATTCGATTTCTTCTTTCTTAGAAAAAAAGTATAACTCAGACGATTTTAATATTTATTTGATTGATTTTAGCGTTAAACTTGCGGTTTATGCAAAAGTGTGACCAAGTGAACGACTTAGTTTATTAGGTTATTCAGTAGGATAAGATGTTGAAAAGAAAAAGTTGTACTATTACGAAGTCAAAATGTTACAAAATAAGCAAATAATTATCAAAAGGTTATCTTTTTTCTTTAAAAAAAAGAAAGAAGGGAAAAGAAACAAAAGAAGAAAATAGAACTGAAAGACATTAATATTTTATTTGAGACAAGAAAGACTGACTCTCCAATTTTGTTGTCCTATAACTTACTATAGCTTTATATTTTCTTACATCTTTATAAATTGTAAAACTTAAGAATATCCTTCAAAGTATGAAGAGCATGAGAATGGTTCTGAGTTTCAGGAGTAGATTTTCCATTAGGCAGCCTAGGAGCACAATAGAAAAAAGATGGAATTAAAAAAAAAGAACTTAAAAGCATTGATATTTTAGTTAGAGCCGTGATGGCTCAGGGGATAGAGCGTTCGCCTTCCAATAAGGTGAACCGGGTTCGATTTAAATTCCGTTCTCAGCTCACACCAACCGCAGTGATGACGTAAAATATACTCATTGTTAGACGGATCTTGGGTTAGAGTCTCCTTGCCGTTAGGCTAACCGTGGGAGGTTCTCGTGGTCTTCCTCTCCATGTCACGCAAATGCGGGTTAGCTCCATCAAAAAGTCCTCCACGAAAGCAAATTTCTCCCAATACTCGATCCAGAAGCTCCATTGTCTTCTGGATTGAGTTCAAAATTACAAGGCTACGGAGTTGAACATTAGTAGCCGTAAACCCATAAAATTGGATCGGCTGTTCAACGACGGTTATAAAATAAAATAGATATAAGCTCAAATCTGTAAACGTATCGTAATTTATTTATTATATAAATAATTTAAAAACACTTCATTAAGAAACAGCAAATAAATTTTGTTTGAAGTAACGATCAGGGATCCCTGACAGTTTTGTGGCTTAGGCCCCCGCATTCCTAGATGAATCCCTGTGCTATGGTTAAAACTTATATAATAAACAAAGTAGCATTAATTTTTTTTAAAAGTAAAGAATATTTAAATTTTGATGACCTATCAAATTTCATTTTTTCAAATTTGTTTGAAAATCATGTTTCATTCTTTATAAAATATATTTCTTCAGTCAAATGTTTTACTTCTTTAAACCTTTCATTCCATAATAAAAATAATAATAACACATATAAAATTTCAGTGTCTGAAGTCGGCTTCGAGGCTCCTGTCGACTACCCCCTTCCCAGTGTGCATGAAACTGCTATTATATCCGTATTTTGAAGATTGCGGCTACCTTTCAAAATTTCCAAAATTAAAAGTGAATCTAAATTAGAACATTCAAGCTGAAACACGTAAACAATGTAATAGGAAAAGATAGCATTAAAAATATTGTTTGTCCTCAAGTTAAGATTTTTTTTTGTATTTGAAATTGTTGAATTAATTTACTTTAGTAATTTTCAATAATTTAGTAATTCTTTCATAAATCTAAATCACATAGTCGTTCCGGTAAATGTCCAAAACATATACTAGGTCTAATGAAGTGCCACTGCGCAATATACACTTGCCTGGTATACCCGACACTGTTTTTTTAAAGTTAAGTACCACTACCCAGTATGCATTTAATCGATACTCTGAACACTGATGTTTCTCCTTATCCATCCTCAACAGATATTAAGATATCGAATAAATGTTATAATATCAGCGGATAAATTAATATCAAATCAGACATAACAAATGTTTCGGACATTTACCAAAGCGACTATGTGATTGTTGACATTCACCGATGAAAATTGACGTTTTTTTTATTTCTGCCATTCTCGGTAACATATATATGAAGCTTGATGCACTTGATATTGCGTATGAAAAAATAAAAATGTCAATGTAAACTCTTTTGTAAATGTGTATAGCTAGTATATTGTTTGTATAGTATAGTGTATAGTTTAATTTACTTTTAAAAATTTGACTTTTGATTCTGACTAAGGCAAATTCCAGGAGAATAATGGTATTAAAAATTTATGTTTCCAAGAAAAGTGCAATATAAAACAAAATTATGTTCTGTTTTGTCCTTTACTAAATGAATAAAGAAAACATTTAAATGAAATCTAACAAAAACAATTATTTCTAAGAATTACTACTTTTAAAAGTTTACTAAATGCTTATTTCAACTAAATAGAGTTAATGATAATGTCATTTTCATTTATAAACTGATACTCTTAAGTTAATAACTTGTTAAAAGCTACGGAATATTTGAAACTTTGAAATTAATAAAAATGTCATAGAGGGAATCACCTAAATGTTTCAAATTTTGGCCTCGTTTTTGCACGAGCGATTAAATTTCAAAGTCGCTGTGGCTATTAGTCAAAAATGACATCACTACTTGTGGGAAGGAAATATAATGTATCGGCTGGCGTTGCTGTCGTGATTTTGGAAAATTGCTGAAAATTATGACTTTAAATATGTTATTTTTTTATTTTCTTTATTTCTATTTAATAATTTATATTTCATTTTATCACCGTCTTATGATTTGTAACTACATTATTTTTAAACATGTTTTAGTCTAATATTTCAAAAAAATTTGTTTAAATAAATGAAATAGCTGTTGAATAGAAAACAATAATGCTATTTACTGATTTCTAAAATCGCACCTATGGCAGGAAAAATAGTTACAGTGCTACTATGATTTACGTTTTTATTAGACCAAAGGGTAAAAAAATATAAATACTGCGATTGTAGACAGCATTTTGTTTGGCTCTGTTACAATCCACCCAAAATTTGTCATAATTTCTTTTAGAATCAAAGTCATGAAAATAAAATTTAGTACTGATATTACGTAAACATATAGTCGCTATCACAACCCTCAACCCTCCAATACGCCACCTGGCGAGAAGACCGGCTCCATGGCTTGACCCATCCCCTTTTCCTCTCCTCAGCTGTATATAAATGTACTAAGATATTTTCCCCCTTCTTAATATTTATCGTATTTAATTGTCACAAATATTTTTCAAAATTTTCACATTGTTTTCGTTTGGAACTATGTTCAATGTAGTTTTCAGTCTTAAAAGTTTTCAATCTATATAAAAATCGAAACAGAAACTTAGTCCCTGCCATCTGCCGATCATCAGTGGAACCAACCCACCCGTATTGATGACATTTTCGACCAATAGCGTGACCAGTTACTTTCGAAACTAAATTGTATAGTTCGAAATTTGAATCGAACCTCTGAGTTCTTATACGCTACAATATTTGCTAAGTAACATACTATTGTTATCGCCTTTAGTATTTCAAAACAAGAAGGGAAGTGAAGTGATTTCAAATCAGGTACTAATTTTAAATGTCGTAATTCGTCTGTGTTTGGTAAGTTAAATGTTTTTAAGTATTAAATCAGCTATGTATTTTTAAAAGTCATTATTCATTCGTGTATGATAGTTTAAATATTTTACAGTATTGAACCAGCTTAAATACTCTGGTCAGCAGGTATTTTTTTTTTGTCTTACGCGGTCATTCCACCCATAAATAAAGTTGTTTTTATTTTAAACCTGAATGCTTTCAAATTATTTTTACCGCATTTTGGTACAAAGCTTTTGATTATGATTTTTTCGTAAAATGCTGTTAATTTATGTTTATAGTCAATGATGAAAAATAGCACAAATAGCGAAACTTTCTGTAGTATCAGTTTGATGTTAATTTCAGAATATACAGCAATATATGCACAACAAACTATTATTTAACAGGGCGCGTAGCTTTTTTAAAAAGTCTTAAAAGTGCTTATTTTTTATTTACGTTTTTTGAAAGCTCTTAACGGTGATTTTTTTTTATTCGGGGTTTCTAAGTGCATAATTTTCTATATTTTAAAAAAAAGATTTTTTCTTTGCCGTATCGATTGTCGTTCTAAATTACTAAAAATGCATTATTTTCACAATTTTCTCCGCAACGTTTATCAGAAACTAGTTATTTTATCATGATTATGTAAAGAGTTTGAAAATGTATTTGAATTTTATGTTTATAAATTAAGAACTTTAAACTTTTATTACTACTTTAAAATACTTTTTATTACTGCACAGACCCTGATTATTACTTTTTTTTAAAAAGTGATTTTAAGTATTTTTGAGTGCTTAAAAAGTTCCTTAAAGGTGCTTCTTTTTTGTTGAAAAGTCTGGCTACACACCCATACCTGCCAAATCTCTTATTTTTTAAGGAAGACTCCTGTATTTTGCTACTATCTCCTGTTTACCCATATATTCTCAAATTTCTCCATATTTGTTTGGTAAATTTTAAAAAAATATTTTGGGGATAAAATATACACGGATGGCAAAGATACTTCTCTTATTGTTCAACAGATGGTGCTAATGCCAGTACTGCAGTATGTTGAGTGTTAATAGTTGAAGTAGAGTCCTGGTAGCTCAGGGAAAAGTTTTCGCCTTCCAATGAAGTGAACTCAGTTCGAATCCCAGCAATGACTGGGCGATAAGAATTCTGAATCAAGTTTGCACTGACCACAGTTCTGATGTAAAATATCCTCAGTGGTAGACAGATCACTGGTTAAAGTTCCTTTTCTGTCAGGCTAACCGTGAGAGGCTTTCGTGGTTTCCCTCTCCATGTAACTCAAATCTGCATTAGTTCCATCAAAAAAATCCTCCACGAAGGCAAATTTCTCTCAATAGTTGATCCTGGAGTTCCCTTGTCTTCTGGATTGGGTTCAAAATTACAAGGCTATGGAGTTGAACATTAGAAGTCATAAAGCCAAAACTGGATCATCTGTTCAATTACAGTTATAAAACAAATTAGTTTAAGTAATTATAAATAATGTTTTAAAAGAAATCTTTAGATTAAAATTTATACACAAATTTTTTACTTTGCTAAATGTAAGTGCTTATATTAGTTCTAATTTTGAATTTCTCTTTTTGACTTACATGATTATGCATGATGTATCAAAGCTTATCGATAGTAAAATCTCCTTTTTTATTTCTCCAATGTTGGCAGGTATGCACACCCTGTTTAACAAAGCTAAATCATAACATCAAGGGTAAATGAGTCATCACTGAAAGGTAAGGAGATTCTACTACCTTTATGTAGAAATGAAAGTTCACAATATTTTTTGCACTCTGTGATATTTGGCATCTGAATGTTTGAACAATACTATATATATATGAAGTAAAAAAATGACAGTAATGTAAGAGATTATTTAAACAGCATCCAAATTTTAGTCACATTTTTAACTTAAAAAATACAATTGTTTTGCAATAAATATTATGCGATTAATTAAAACAAATTTATTTTTAATAGTGACCTAGCGTTAAGTTTTTCACCTATAAGAAAAAAATTTCGTATTTACTTTGCAAAATTTTAATAATCCTGTCTTCATTTAAAAGAAGGTTGGAATATTCAGATATATTTTTGTCTTTTGATTTGTTGCGCCAATTATAATCGTTAAGGTGCCATATGGGTTTTTAATTTGCAAATTTTTTTAAAGAATAGAAAAACATCTAGAGGTTTGTCCAGAGGTGGCTAAGATCCCTTTCTGTGAATTTTTTTTTTATTACCCGGAAGGACTTGTTGGTTATTATGATACGGAAATCTTCCCATGCATTTAAACTAATATGATATTTGTAATTGCAAAATTAAGTTGTTGATTTTTAGTAATGTATATGTTTGGTATGTGATTTGTTAGCTTAATAGTATTGATGAAATTTAGATATATTTTAATAGTTCTTTTTATAATAATACAGGATAGCATACATATTTTTGATTCTCGATGTAATTTAAAAAGTACTTTTTCGGCAGATATTTGTAAGAAAGGTAAGTGCGTATTCTCCTGTCAACCATTTTTGCCAGATTTGAAGAAAAAAAATTTAAATGGTTCAAATTTAAATATCATTTTTTGCAGTAAATTATATTTGTATTTTATCCATTTTTTATAATCAGCTACTGTATTAAAGTTTATTTGTAAGGTACCAAAATGATTTTGGTGCGATGTTGGCAAAAATGATTGATGGGTTAATATATAAGTGCCTTTAAAAGTGTTTCATTTTCCCTTTTCCAAAATGAGATTTTTGTCATGTTGATTGTTGTCATGAATTATGCTGTTGGTTTTTTACAATGTTCCATTTAAAATGTCTACTGTTCATTTAACCAAAATCTATTTCGTCTTATTGTCATCAATATGGTACAAAAGTGCCAATCATTCTACATCTTGGAGGAATTACTCTCTTAGATTACAGAGCATGATTTCAGTGGGAAAATTTCACACATGTAACTGTTGCATTTTATGAGAGATTGCGGGCTTCATTTTCCACCCTCTGAAACAAATGAAAATCTCTCAAATTTCTGCTAAGTGGTTTTTCCTCAAATGGTTTTTTCCTCCAATATCAAATGAAAATTGTCTTTCGTTGGTGAAGCACCATCGTCTTTGTCACAGGCAAGTTGATGACGTTCTCGCACTATTTAATTTATAGTTGAGTTCCACAATCCTTAAACATGAATTGGGAATCGTTCATTAGTAAAGTATTTTCATGTGAGTCCAAAGCAGTCAACAGTTACAGAGCTTCATCACTCCAAAAAATTTCATCTCCCTTTTATTCATTTGTTTTAGTAAAGATAGGAATTGAGAATTTTTTAATGTGTGCGTTTGTATAAGAAGATGTCCATTAATAGTATAAAATATTTTTAATCCTGTATGTTTATCTAAGGGATCGTCCATACCATAGGTTGTGCAAGATATTATAGGCTTTTTGTCTTGTTTTACTGAATTTGTTATTGAAATTTTCAGTAATCCTGAGTTATTTAATTTTCAAAAACACAATAAATTTCAGGGCAGGATTTTTTTTTAAAGTATGAATTGAGGTACTTTTCACTATTTTAATATTTAAAGTTCATTTGTATTGCAGTCAGTTTTAAGCAGGGTTGGTAAGTTTTTGACAATTGATGGTTTTAACCATAGTTTTATTTGTCATGTCAAAATTTTAGTGTAATGATGGTTATTAATTGTTATAAATAAGAAGTAATTATAAATTAACGTACCTGTAAAATTATAAGTGATCAATCAATGATGTTTCTGGATTATTTTGACTTTAAACTCTTTTTGTTGGGACAATTACTGTTTAAAAACCCCCAAATTCTGGTAGAACATATTAAAAAATTATAAAGAAACATATGTAAAATTGCATTTTGTCCGATCTGTTAATTTGTTATATTATTGAAAATAAAAATACAAAAGCAATTAGCCTTAAATAAAAACTCAACAATCATCTTATTCATTATATGTAAAATCAATTTTCCATTACTTCCATTTTAACTACCCCTTTCCTCCCTAAAGCATGCAATTATATAAAAATAAAAACAATTTTGAAGCTCTCTCTACTCCAATTTGATTATTTTGTTTTGTATGAATAAGACCGAAATTTGAAATTATTTGTTCATTCGATGCTGAGTTACATAGACTAGAATGTAGACATATTAAAACTATTATAACATAATAAAATAGCATGTAACTAGAAAATTTATTTTAATAATTGTACTAAATAATAATTTAATTAAAGCCTTGAATTGATTGATTGAAAAAATTTACTAATCAGAGAATATATTAGTCAAGATTTATTGGAAATATTCATGAACATTGTTAAAAAAAAAAAAAGAAGAAAAACAGACCATCCTGAATAACTTTTGATCCAATGATTGGATTTTCACAGTTTTGGACTTAATGGTTCGAGAAGGTGACCTCAAATATGCTAATTAGTGCAGGCGATATTTTAAGTTTGGAAATACGACACAAGAGTCTACTTTCTCTGAATAAACATACCTTATTTTCAATGAATTTGGACATCTGGTCTCTGAAATATAGGGGTAGTCGCAATCTGAAAAATACGGTCCCAATGGTTTGGTCAGGTGAACAGTACAAAGTCTGGACCCCTTAACTGCCGCGGGCGTATATATACACTTTCCCGAAGTATGATGCTTTGCATTGTGCTGCTATAAGTAGAACTACACCCCCGCCTTCTGAATGCAGTAAAATGACCTTGAAAGTGTTTGCAATGAAAATGTATTACAAATTTCGGGGGAATGGGAAAGGGATGTGTTGGAAAAGTTATATAATATTTATTGCTTGTGTGTTTCTATTTGAGTAAGATCGGGTTTATTCTTTCGTTTCCCGGGTATATTCGTCGAGAATCCCACTATCAGTGCAATGAATGTGATGGTTTAAGTGTGTCCAACCATGTTTCAGGATTTATCATACAACAGCTGAGTTTTTAACATCTTTTATTGAGTTTTATCATCTCTTATTGTAATTTTATTCTTTAATTTAAGTTTTGTATTTTCTCTTTTTCCTTTTTCTTCTCTTGTGAAAGTAAACTGTTTTTAAATTGCAATGCGTGCATCTTCCCCCCCCCCTCCCCACCAAAACACCGCGTAACAAAGCGCACTTGAGCGAAAAACGGTGGCACTGGGGAGTGAATCACGTAAATTTTACTCGGCAGGTAAGGGGTTAATGTTAATTTTCACTTTTTTCGTATTTCATCTTATCTTGAAAAAATTTTAGCAAATTGAAACATTTTTGCACTCAAATCATTTGTTTAACCAAAGATAATACCATGCAAAAAAGGATTTTTTGTAAATATTTATTTTATTAAGTAGCAGTCGAAAAAAAATTGCATTGTAACATATGCATTTTTACGCAACTTTAAAGTATCTAATTTTACATTTCAAAAGACGAAAAGCGGACCTTGTGCCGTTTCCATTGAGAAGATAATTCTCTAATTATTATTAATGTAGTGTTCAGTGGAAAATGATAATAATTTTTCTAGAACTGTATATATAATTGTATAAAGCATGTAATCAAGAAAATTCTATTAAAAAAAATTATTTTAGATAAGAGTGGTATTTTTTGAATCTCAATATGTAACAAAATCGTTACAGCTGTATACTCTTGTTATTTATTGGTAGACAAGATTAGATTTTGCTGCTGAATTACCAAACTCTAGTCTAGACGCAAAATCTAATCTAGTCTACCATTAAATAATAAGATTATATAACTGTAACGATTTTGTTACGCATAAGGATTAAAAAAATAGGATTGGGGGTCTGAACTCCAAATGGGTTGGAAAAAAGGTAATGCGTATTCAGAGAAAGTACTTTGTGCCTTATTTCGTAACTTAAAATATCATGTGCACCAATTAATTAGCATATTTGAGCTCACCCTTTGAACCATTAGGAATGAGTCCTAGATCGTCAAGATCCTATTATTAGATCAAAAGTTATTCAGGGGGGTCCCTTTTTCTTTTTAAATCACTCAACATATGAGCAAGAGTGCTGAAAATTCTCAGAACATAATATCACTTATGTACTATGTTTCTTTTTAGATCAAAATTTCAACAAAAATTTCAATTTTTTTTCTAATTGCAATTACTCTTTCAAAATATTTAAATATGAAGAAAATGTATTGATTTTACGCATTTCTAAAATAAATGAGCATATGTTTTATAAAATAATAGAAATCAAAATATATTTAAATAGTAATGATTTATGGTATTAAATTTAAGCTCCCACTTATAAACGTGAGGAATTCAAGCTAATAAATACACAAATTGACATATGTTTGTTTAACACAAAAAAAATTTCCCAAAGCAATATTTTTTTTAAAAAAAATGTGCGGAAATTTATTTAGAACAAACTTTTTCCATGCCTTCCTGAATTTTCTCTAACTTCTCGTTGAGAATCAATAAAAAAATTAACTTGAGACTAGGCTGGTGAAGACTTTAATTTGTCTTAATCTAGAATATCTGCCTGAATCGTAACATAAAATAATTGAAACCAATATTTAGATTGATAATAAGTAACAACACTCATAGTTATTACCAGTATTATAAACCAAGTAGTTAAAAATTAGTTCTTAATGTATTAAGAGTACCATTAGGAAAACCAATTAATAGTTTCAGTAATTTTGGCTACTCTTTTTGACATGTGATTTGTAATATAATAATTATAGTAGTATATGATGGTGCTAGGAATTTTAACAGATTTTTGGCATGTTATTTCAAAACTTGAGGATTTC